TTCATGATTTATAAGTTTCTGGGTTTTCCATTTACTTGGGTTAGCACTTTGGTTCTATATCACTTCCTTCTACAATGTAAATAATTATTATTTTTTGTCTTATAGGTTGTATCACCAACCCAATCGGGACATATCTTTGGTCTCGGGGGACAGCCAATTCGGAAGCGCGGTGAGACTCACTCTCGAGCGTCAAGTACATGCTTTGCAAGAGCAGTTGGCAACAGTTGTTGAGTTCATGAAGCGCTTCACCTACTGGTCCGGCTCATCTACGGAAGGTGAAGCAAATGCTGATGGCCACAGGTCCTCCACTCCTCTGATGATGCCTTCACCTACTGGTCCAGCTCGGATTCAACGCAGAGACTTGAAGGCCAGTCTTCAAGCCGCCATGAATCATCTTGATGTCCCCATGGGTGAGGGTCTTAACCATGAAGCAGCACCAGAAGAGAACGCTGATAGTGAAGACAATGAAAGCTCTGACCATGACAATGACAACGAATATGCATGGTCTTGATGTTGCTCCACCAGTTTAAAAGGTATAGGATTTAACTCCTGTTATATTATAACTCTTTTTGGTATAGAAGACTGATGTGCTAACAATACCCAATCTGCTTTGTATAATTGGCTAACGAGCTTTTGGCTTTTGTATAATCGGCTACCGAGCTTTTGTTTAACCAGCTAATGTAATTGCATGTATAATCGAGTTAATATAAATGAATATATAGTAATCAGTTTATGTAACTTGTGGATCTGTAATGTTGGAACATTAATGTAATCGCCTGTATAATCTTATTGTATTTTATTTCGGATTTCTTTATAAATCTGTGTTTTGTATTCATCAATAATAATTTTAGCACAATTTTGATACACAAGCAACAAGTATAAAATTTTCTTACAAACTTACTGTCACAAATTATAACAAATTAGTGACAAAATGTTGTAACATATTGTGGTAATTAGTGATGCAAGTGGCATTGCTTTTGTGGGTTTTTTCCACACATCATATGTAACTATTTGAAGCAAAATTATCACAAATTGTTTGTAATAAAGTTGTAACTATTTTGTGATAATTTGTTTGAAACAACTTAGTAATAATTTGTCACCAAAGGTTTGCATCTTTTTGTGTTAAATAGTCACAAAATCTAGTAACAAATTTAAAACAAATTTGCTACAATATTTGTAGTAGCTATTTTTTTTCAATTTGCGTCAAAACAAATTTGTGACTAATTTATAGAAAATTTACTATAATTAGCTAGAAAAAAAACAACATTGCTACTACCATATAGTTTCGAACAAAATATGAAGCAATTTGTAACTAAACGATATTTGCTATAAAAATAAAATTATAGCTATAAAAAAATCTGTAGTTATGTACCCTTGTTCTTGTAGTGCAATACGACCCATGTCAATTTATGGCATGCCCTGTTGCACCTGACGCCTTTGAGTTTCCTTTTACCAAATTATTTCCTCCAAATTCACCAATTCGTTGTTATTTTCTCTTCCCATAGCTGCTAAAATTACATTACCTACAAAAAAGTTCTACGGACCCCAACACCTTGGAGATGTATTTAATCAAGAGATGAGAATGATCTATATTAACATTATAACTTTTTTTTAAATAGTGTTATTAAACTATTGATTTGAAATATATATGATAAAATCTGTTGTTATTGAAAATATTTTAAACACTATAGATTTATAGTGATTTCAATGTATTTTGGTGATTTTTCTTAGTTAAAAGTATAAAGATTTTAATCTGATATGCTTATGTGAGATTGCAGAAAATTGTAATAACAAATCATAATAATTTTCCAAATTCATCCAAAATTATCTAAAAACTCATTAAAACTCAAATTATCAAATTACTTGGTTCAATACACTGTTAACTAACAAGAGAAAAACGAAACATTTTAATTTTGATTTTATCCAAAGATATGCTGGTAATTCTTCATCAACATTCCACACTATTGTCTTCTTTTTTATCAAGCCACCATTTGGTTGGACTTTTTAACTATTTTGAATTCATTTTTTAATTCATTTTTTAACCTTTGCAGGTTAAATACAGTGCTCATATAGAAATTTTGGATGATTCTGAAGAAGAAGAGGAAATAATGTGTCTCAACTTCAGATTCATGACCTCAAGTTCCGCTGCAGTCTCTGCTTAGCCGGAGTTTCCAGGTGAAAATGTGTCCTCTTTATTTTGTATGACAAACATTATGTTGTAAATAAAGTATGATTCACAATACAGATCTGCTTCACAAAACAAAATATGCTTTACAAAATAAAGTCAAATGTTTGTGTTTATCAAATTTGTATCATTTATATTATACTCTGATCTTGATAATTTATTTATTCATTTTGATCAGATCTCAATAATTCCTTGTTTAGGGTTACACACATATTAGAAAGAAAAAAAGAGGAAAGACGTTATCTATGCACACGACGGACACAATCACAATTGGTCCTGATAGAGTGACAAATTGTTATTCAATGCAGACAAGACTGAAAAATCGTTACAAAAAAGAGAGAGTTACTTGTAGATTAATGGAAACCAAAATTCTTAAGAGTTGTAAACTCCAAAAAGGTGATTAGATAACCAGAAAAAACAAAATTTCAACAAATAAATTAAAGTTCAAATACAAAAAAAAAATGTGTTGTCATGTAAATGAATTTGGAAAATACATAAAGTCCCTTTGATTTTTTACTTCCTTCACTACAACTCACTCAACATGGAAAAGTTTTGGTTTGATACATTAGCATAAAACCGAATCAAACATAATTACAAAAAAAAAACAGAATATTAAAGAACAATAAAAACGAATAACAGTTAAGATTGCAAGTTTTGTTGTAAAAAGAGATTTACAAGTAAAAGAAAACACAAATCTACGAAACAGTATATATATGATTTTGGGATAAAGAGGTGGATAGCAACGTTTGAGAGATTTATACTTTTATTAGGGAAATATCAAGAGACTTATGCGCTAGAAGGAAATAGCTAAAGAATACCGAAAAGAAATTTGTTGCTTCAATTAATTACATCCTGTACCATCGACCACGCATGGTTGTCATAGTAAATTAAGTGAATATGGACAAATAAATAAAGTAAAGTAAAATGAGCTGTTATATGTTTGGTTATATACAGTGTCCGTGGAACTACCTCCAATGATAATATATTGTATTATACTCAAATTATACAATATAATTAATGCTATATCGTATTATACACAGCCACATATATATGGAACATCTATACACTAATACTAAAGTTAATATGTTATCTAATAAAATTAACAAATTAAATAAAATATTATAGATATAGATTTATATTAACATGATAAAATAAGTTAAAATGTTTAAAAAAACATATAACTTGACATTTAAAAAAACATATAAATGAAATCTCATTCATGGAAGCTTTCCACTTTTGTGTTTATCCAAATGAGGAAACGCTTGAAGAATGTTGTAAGTCCTTAGATCTTGCCTTGTTAAGATCCCTATCACAGGAGACATCTGCAATAACACAAGCATACATAAAACACGTTTAGTAGTGTTGTTGAAAGATTTGCTACAACATTCAACATAGTAAAAAGAAAAGAAGAAAACTTACTGGTGAATTGATTCTTCGGAACAACCAGCAAATCTCTTTTTCAGAACTTTAACCTATGAGGCTCTGTAGCAGCACCAGTAGCTAGATCTTCTCCATCCAACACTGGGAATGCGTTATGCGTTGTGTTCCTCAGCTCATCGACTATATTCGCGACTTTCTCTACTCCATAAAGTGTGAGGCTTAGACCACCTCTATTGGTGAGTTTTAAAAAATGGACTTCTAATCTTTAATTTAATAATATTTTAGTATAATAATATTATTTGATTAAATTTTATTTTATGTTTAAAAGATAAACAATTAAATGCTGCTAAGTGGTGAAAGTCCGCTTCTTTTTTTTTTTTTTTGTCGTCTTCTGTTGACAATATTAAAGCCCAAGAAAGACAAAGCAGCTTACAAATTCTTTTGGGCCGATAATAAAACTTAGTAACCAAAATAGAGGCCCACAACACGTGTACAATATGTGTCAGCGAAAGAAAACAAAGAAAACACGTGTTTATTATCGAGAAAGGCTTGTGCAGCTCCGCTTCCACCACCGGAACTTTCCACCGCCGACGCAAATGAAACCAAAAACCACTGCGAAACTGCTGTGGATCCGCACTGCTGCTCTTTCCTTTTGCATGTAGCCACCATTAGAAGATGAAAAAACCTACTTTCACCGTTAGAATTTGAAACAAAGAGTCATCGAATTGAAGGTGAACAGAATATTTACTGGACCGCCTGTAAAAAGCGCCAGATCTACAGATCCTGCGTCACAATCACTCAAAATAACTCTCAATCTCTCAACTCTACACCACTAAAGAAACCTCCACTCCACAAGCAGGACGAAGTATCAACAGAAAAGTGGAAGACTTGCTCTTTTGGGAGAAGATTCAGAATATCCAACGGAGAAAGGACTCTTCAAATTCGCCTGGAAATAAGAATAAAACATGTAAAAGGGAAATCCGAACAAAGTCGGAGAATTTATTATCCGATAAACGGAAAACAAAATCCGATATACGAAAGAAAATCCGATTGACGGAAATATATAACAACCAAAAAACCGATCAAATCGGATCAAAGAAAAAAAAACGAACGAACTCTCTCTCTTTTTTGAAAGATTTTAGTGAGAGAAGAGAGAGAGAGTTTTTACAGACTACAAATCTAAGATTTGGTGAGAGTCCGCTTCTAAAAACTATAAAATGAGAAGCGACTCTCCTCCTTCTTTCTTCCTTTTTAATTTTTTTTATTTTTTTATTGTTTAGAGTCTGGATTTGAAATCTCTATGTGAGGTGTTCTTAGCATCATTGCTACGATCTGAGAAGATGGATATGGGCCTCATTGGACTATTTTATGTTATCTCGTTTATCACAGTTTAAGCCCGTTATAATATGTAAAGCACGAAACTGTTTAGAGGTTTATCGAATTGACGATCAAACAAAACAATTTCAAACTCTCTCTCTCTCGTCTTCTTCTTCTTCTCTTCTTCTTATTCTTCTGAATCTCTCTTCTAATTCTTCGTTCTTTTTTATCCCCTTTGATAGAATCCGATTCTATCACCTCTCTCCATCAATTCCTCCAGAGCAAGCTTTTTCTCCATATCCAAATCTTAAATCCAGTTTCCTTCCGTAATCAGGTTTGTCTTCAATCTCAAAACTAAATTAAGTAATGATTGATAACTCCTATTGTTCCCGTTCTGTTCGCAATTCAAAGGCTCATAGAAACTTTACCTAGATATATAAATCTCTAAGAATCCCTAATTCGGGGGCTATGTTCAGAACCAGCTCTCGATGTTTGGAAATTCTGGAATTGTTTGCTAGATAATATGATTAGTTTCTTGTTGATTATGATTTCTCGTTGATAAATATGAAATTGAAGCTAAGAAAGAAAAAAAAAAACTCAATTTTTTACATGATTTTGATTACTCATCGGCTTTTTTTTTTTAATTGATGTCTTATGTCAGATAGAGCTTTAAATGGGTAAGAAGAAGTCAGACGAGAGTGCTTCTACCTCGAAGGCTAAGCCAAGTGGAAAAGATTCTTCTAAAGAACCGAAAAAGGAGAAACTATCAGTCTCAGCGATGCTTGCAGGCATGGATCACAAGAACGATGATAAACCCAGAAAGGGTTCATCATCGACATCCAGGGCTGTTCCAAGTAACGCTTCCTCCTACACTGATGGCATAGATCTTCCTTCTTCCGAAGATGAAGACGAGAGCGCTTCTGATGAAGAACAGAGGCAGGCGGAAGAAAGGAGAAAGCAGAAGAGCAAACAAAGGCATCTTGATATCTCTGTGACCGATAAGGAGCAAAAGAAGCGTGAGGTGAAAGAAAGAGAAAAGCAGCAGTCTGCAGAGCTTGCGAAGAGGGAGGACTTGAGGGACGACCGTGATGCATTCACGGTTGTTATTAGAAGCAAGGCTTCGGTGCTTGAAGGACAAGACACGGCTGATGCGAATGTTAAAGACATCACGATAGATTCTTTTTCCGTCTCTGTTCGAGGTAAAGAACTTTTAGGAAACACATCCGTCAAGATATCGCATGGGAAAAGGTATGGATTGGTCGGGCCGAATGGGATGGGGAAGTCTACACTGTTAAAGCTTTTAGCTTGGAGGAAGATTCCAGTTCCGAAGAATATTGATGTTCTTCTCGTCGAGCAAGAGGTGGTCGCCGATGAAAAGCGTGCTCTGGACGCAGTTGTTTCTGCCAATGAAGAGTTGGTTAAGTTGAGGGAAGAAGTTAGAGCTCTGGAAGCTCAACAGAATACGTCTTCTGGAGAAGACGATGATTCTGGAGAAAAGCTTGCTGAATTGTATGAGAGGCTGCAGATGTTGGGGTCAGATGCTACTGAAGGAGATGCGGCCAAGATTCTTGCAGGGCTAGGTTTTACAAGTGATATGCAAACCCGTGCAACGAATTCATTCAGCGGTGGCTGGAGGATGCGAATATCTTTAGCTAGAGCTCTCTTTGTGCAGCCTACTCTCTTGTTGTTAGATGAACCCACCAACCATCTCGACCTGAGAGCTGTTCTGTGGTTAGAGGAGTATTTGTGTCGCTGGAAGAAGACGTTGGTTGTTGTTTCGCACGACCGGGATTTCCTCAACTCTGTCTGCACGGATATAATACATTTGCATGACCGGAAGCTCCACTTCTACCGTGGTAATTTCGATGCTTTCGAGTCTGGATATGATCAGCGACGCAAGGAGGTGAACAAAAAGTTTGAGAATTTCTAGAAACAGGCTAAAGCAGCTAAGAAATCTGGAAACCCTGCTCAACAGGAGAAGGTAAAGGAGAAAGCCAAGCGTGCTGCGGCTAGAGAAGCATCCAAAAGTAAGGGGAAGGGTAAGGCGGTGGATGAGGAAGGCTCAGCACCGGAAGCTCCTAGACAGTGGAAAGATTATAGCGTGGAGTTCCACTTCCCAGAACCAACCGAGCTCACTCCTCCTCTTCTGCAGCTGATTGAGGTTAGCTTCTGCTATCCCAATAGGCCAGATTTCAGGCTCTCAGATGTTGATGTGGGTATTGACATGGGTACACGGGTCGCCATAGTTGGGCCTAATGGAGCTGGAAAGTCCACTCTTTTGAATCTTCTTGCGGGAGATTTAGTTCCAACAGAGGGTGAGATGAGAAGAAGCCAAAAGCTTAGGATTGGCAGATACTCTCAGCACTTTGTTGACTTGCTAACAATGGGGGAAACACCTGTTGAGTATCTTCTTCGGCTTCATCCTGACCAAGAGGGATGTAGCAAGCAAGAGGCGGTGCGTAAGAAGCTAGGCAAGTTTGGGCTAATAAAAGACAACCAGGTAGCTCCAGTTGCGAAACTGTCTGGTGGACAAAAGGCTAGGGTTGTGTTCACCTCAATCTCAATGTCGAGGCCACACATTTTGCTTCTTGACGAGCCCACGAATCACTTAGACATGGAGAGTATAGATGCGTTGGCAGATGCACTAGATGAGTTCAGTGGAGGAGTTGTGCTAGTGAGTCACGACTCGAGACTCATATCACGAGTCTGTGAGGATGAGGAGAAGAGTCAAATTTGGGTTGTAGAAGACGGAACAGTGTCTTTCTTCGACGGCACATTCGAAGATTACAAAGAAGATCTCCAAAGAGAAATCAGAGCAGAGGTTGATGAGTGAAGTTTTGTTGTTGTCCTTTTATATTCATTACAGATTTGAAAAGTTTTGGACAAAATTTTTGTTAGACATCGTGTGTTTTCACCATACGTCCGTTAATGGCATGGCACCATATTCGTCTTCCCCATGTTTACATATCCGAGTGTCGTATGATGTTTTGGGGGAAGTAAGGAGAAGATGTGTAAACCCATTGGCACTTGAGCTTAAGCTTTCAAGTTTTGTTCTGTATTCAAATTGCTCTTATTCTTATAATATGTGGTAAGAAAATGTAGCTTTACAAGTAGAAAACACAAATCTACGAAGCAGTATATATTTTGTGTTTGGTGTTGAAGAAAGAATGCAAGCAAAACTGGACAGAATGAATAAAACTAAGAAGAATGGGAGAAAGAAACACAAATCCAAAGCTGATTCAATCACTCACACGAAAGCAAAAGGTGAAGCTTCTTTTGCTTTTGCTTATTCATCGAAGCTTTCCACTTTTGTGTTTATCCAAATGGGGAAACGCTTGTAGAATGTTATAAGCCCTTAGATCTTGCCTTGTTAAGATCCCTATCACAGGAGACATCTGCAAAACACACAATGAGACATGAAACAAGTTTAGTACTGTTCTTGAAAGATTTGTTACATTCAAGATAGTAATAAAAAAGAAGAAAACTTACTCCTGAAGCTTGAATCTTGGGAACAACCAGCAAATGTCTAAGACCGACTGATCGAAAAAGCACCAAAGCCTTAGCCACTGACATACTCTGCACCACTGTGTACGGTGTAGTGTTGGTCAAAGGATGAAGATCAACATACATTTGCATCTCTGAGCTTGTGATTGCAACATCGTCGAAATTGTCTTCTCTCTCAGCTAATTCAACCGGTGTGAACTTTTCTCTAACTTCCCACTCTTCTGTTCTTCTCTTCTCATTCAAGAACCATCTCTTTTTCAGAACTTTAACAAGATGTGCTCTCAAGATCAACCCATGAAGCTCTGTAGCAGCACCAGTAGCTAGATCTTCTCCATCCAACACCGGGAACGCGTTATGCGTTGTGTTCCTCAGCGCGTCGACTATATTCGCCACTTTCTCTACTCCGTGAAGTGTTACAACCGGAGGCTTAGCATCACCAAGCTCACCTACAGTGAGATTCCTCATCCATGGCTCTGGATTCGCTTCCAAGAAAGGTAAGCCCTTTAGATGGAGAATGATCTCGTAGATGCTTAGATTGAAGCTGTCTCCAACTGTTTTAGCAATCAGAAGCACAAACATTGTTATGGGTAACAAAAGAAGGTTGTTGGTGAGCTCAAGGAAGATAACACAGAGGGAAACAGTCATTCTCATGGAACCAGCCATGAGCGAAGCTGCACCAAGAACCGCGTAAAGCCCTTGATCGATCTTTGTGTAAGGTCCCATCACTGTGCCTAGCATCCGACCATAAGCAGAGCCCATGAGGATGATCGGTAAGAAGAGACCGGACGGTGTCGCTATACCGAATGTGATAAGCCCCAAGATGCAGTAGAGGCCAAAGAATATCCAGAGAGAAACCATACCAAACTCATTAGGAGTGTTTGAAGAGAAAACGTTTCTCACTGCATCATCATTGGTTGTGAGAAACAGAGTAGCTAGATCGTTGTAATAACCGTTAGGACAGTTGAACTGCTTGAAGTTCCCTGATCTTCCGTTTGTTGGACAGATCTCGTCTATGGAAGGATTACAAGGTTTACATTCCGCTAAGAAAGGAAGACCATACAAGCAAACCGATGTGAACAGAGACACCGAAAGACTTAGAAGCACCTTGTGAATCTTACCCTTCCTGCAGAAACAATGATGCAAACCAATGTTAAGTAAAGTAAAGCTCTTTTGTGTTCTTGAAGATTTTTTGACTCATAAGCAAGCACTTACTGATTGATGAGATTGTAAAGACGAAGGACTTTATGTAGAAGATGATTGTATAAGCTTCCAAGAATACCACCAAAGACACCAATCAACGTGACAGGGATTATATCAGCTGCGTGGTACCTAACCTCTACATGACTCACATCAAACATAATGAGCCCTCCTTTACCGAAAAGCCCACATTTACCGGAGTTGCAAATCTCGATGAACGCTCTCAGTACAACCACCACAACGGCTGTACTGAAGAATGTCCTCCACAAGAGAGCACTTCTCCACCACGTGGCTACTTCTTCAAGAGCGAAGAGAACTCCTCCTACTGGTGATCTGAAAGCTGCACATACTCCAGAGGCGGAACCACATGTGATGAGATCTCTTCGGTCTCTATCGTTGTTGAAGTAACGAAGCCATCTCCATTTGATTCTGTGATTGTCTGGACCACCTTGACCAAGCAAAGAAGCTATGCAGCTTCCAATATGAACCAATGGCCCTTCTTTGCCAAGATCAAGTCCTGCTGCAACTGCTCCAATACTTCCAACAATCTATCCAAAAACAGTGAGTCAAACAAATTGTCTCACTTTAGAGGATTATGAAGGTTTCAAGAAACAGACCTTAACGAGCATGGTGGTGGCGCCAAACATATTTGGAGTGTCGACGCCATTAAGATAAGCTTTGATCTCAGGAATCCCGGGACCAGCCGCCGTAGGAGCAAAGACAACAACAAGTACTGTCGCCACCAAAGTCAGACCCAAATTGGCTCCGGCAAAGATTAACAGACCTGTCAGATACCTAATTCAACATTGACTTATCAGACAAGGTAACTCAATTTCTTGTTTATTTTTCAAGATTTGGATTATAAGTCAGTACCTATCTTGACCGATGTAGTAGCCGACAGCGAGAAGTTTGTAACCGGCGATGTTTTCGACGGCGAGGTTGATGAGAGTGGCGATGAGACCAGTGAAGAGACCAACAAGACAAGCTAATGTCCATTTTGCGAATATGTATTGAAACACTTGTGCCTTTGATCTGCTTCTCCAGTCATGCTTGAACAGATCATTCTCGTTTATTCTGAAGAAACCACAAATTCAATTTTAGATTATGTTTTTTTTTTCACAAAATTATTACAACAGTTCATATGTCTCCATCACAGATTATTTTTTTTCCTTAGTTTTTATTAAGATGAACATTATCTGAAAACATAGATAAGATTGTGATCAAGACTTATCATACAACTAAAACAAAATGGTGGCCCAATTTCTCGAGCTTGAATTCTTCTCAAGATATGATGATTGCTTGCGGCAAATTGAAAATGTGAGAGTAAGTTGAACTACTAGAACAGTTCATATGTCTCAGTCACTATATATATCCAATTTTTCAAAATAAAATAATTCAGAATAGAGATTAAAACTTATAGAAGGAAATGAAGATTACTGAAAACAGAGTAAATTTAAATCTATATAGAAAGTGACTGAAAAAACAAAAATTCATTCAGTCTTTTTGTTTTCTTAAGTAAAACACTTGTCTGAAAAATAGAAAAATATTCAGACCAAGAATCCAGTTCTCTTTTGGAATTATTTTTGCAAAAGTGAAAAATTTATGAAGACAGAGTAAAGATGAAAACTTTATAGAAAGAGACTGAGAACAAGAAGAGGACATACTCATAATCTAAGCTCTCGATGTGTGAAACCTTGGTACCGACCAAAGCAAGAGGAGTTGAAGAAAGAGTTCTATGTCTTTTAAGGAGAGGTTGGTTCATGGTGTTATTCTCTGGATCTGCTTCCTCTTCTTCTCCATTATAATTACTATTACCAATCTGCAAGCTTCCATCTTCATCCATCGATAACTCTTTCTCTCTCTCTCTCTCTCTTTATGATCCAAGAAATGAAAAAGAAGAAGAAGAGCAAAGCTAGATTTTGGTTGGATCTTCAAGAGCTTTCTCTCTGTCACAAAAACCACTTTTGGTTTGGATTTCTCTGCGTATTTTGTCGTTTCTTCTAGAGAAAGCACTTTTGTTAAGCTTTATAGATCTCTCACATATAGACGCATACATGCATGCATCTATATACACATTATATGTATATGTGTACGCAAAGCATACATAACATTTAATTTTAAATTTTGATTTGTTGTGAGGAGAGTCACAGTGGGTGGATGGGTGCCATATGCGTTTCTCACTAGAGATAAGACAATCATTGTCCTATAAAATATTACGTACCTGAATAATATAACCAGAAAAGAAAGGCAAATTACGACATATGTTGGTGTTTTTTTTTAATCATTTTTTTTGTTATGTGTGTATTTGTGTAGGAATCTACTATTTTGCAACTATGTTTTAACTTGAACACGGAAAATTATTTTGATAAAAATCGATTTTTGATTTTGACAGAAGTCTAAGGAAGGACATTGTAACGTATACAAAGTTTATACAGTAAAATTTCTATAAATTAATAATGTTGAGACTCTCAAATTTTATTAATTTATAGAGTTATTAATTAATTAATAAATTAATAATTATTAATTTATCGATAAATTAATATTTTATTAATTTATAGAGATGTTTTAGCTTGAATTTTTAATATTCATCAAAAAAACAAAATTAATCTTTTTAACAATGTAAAATTTATTCAAAAATATCATAATAATGAATTTAAAAGATAAATCAAACAAATTTTATAAACTTGAAATAAAATTATTATCACAGTTTACTATATTATATTATTAATATATACCTAAATGTATAATTATTAATTTATATTATTATTGGGACCATATTTTTACATAGAACTTTCAAAAAAGTATTATCTTATTATCTTATCGAATTTTGTCAATTTTTATACTGACCCGTCTTGGGACCGGCAAATATTATTAATTTATAGTATTAATTTATCGAGTATTAATTTATAGAAGTTCTACTGTATATACATTTATATCTATTGAAAAATATAACTCAATTTGTTGTGTGTATATATAAATCTAGTTTATTTTTGATTTGGACGCAAGTTGAATGAAATGCAATTTTTTAAAAAAGGGAAAATGAGTTACTGTATTCTTATCCACTAAAGAAGATAATCTATTAAGTGTGTGTAGAAATCGACTATAATATACACGTATTCATTTTTCTATTTATTTTAATACAAAAAACAAATTACAAATCAGATAATTGATTTTGACGTTTTGAAGAAAGAAAGAATGACAATTTTTTTTTATATACATTAATAAAGTTTTTGTGGCAATCATATAAAGGTTTACGTAGATAGTTCCAAAATCCTCGGGTGCGTGGTGATAACCCTTTATGTTTCATAATAGGAATTTTCGTTTACAATTTCTTACATTTCACCTTTTTGGTTTTCTTTCGAAATTATGAGTTTATATAACAAACTTATCTATTTATTGATTTATCAATATATACTTCTTATTTCCAAAGTTACACATTAACTGTTTTCATTTGTTTCTTGCGCAGACCAACGTTCCATACTTTTCCGTTTTGTATCGATGAAGACTGTTGCATGTGGATCTCACAGGCCCCATTGACAAATTTATTCTGTTTTTATGAATGATTAATGATATTCAAACATTGTCCATAACTCCATATAAAACTATAGAATTTTCTACAATTTGCATTAAAAGACTAATTTTTTACAATTTTAATTATAAATATTTCTTAGGTTTGCTTGTGTACACACATGGTAGATCACAAAAACAAATCGAGGATCTTCTTTTAGTTTACTTCATTTTTCATCAAAGAAAATATATCACGCCTTCCTAAATAAGTAGCTTTTTCTTTGTCCCATGTGCCCTTTTTTTAATCATTTCCTCCGTTATGAAAAAGAAATAACTCTAAAATAAGATTTTGTCACATTTCTTATCTAATTTCTGAATTTAATTCTCTAATTCGCCAGCCATTTTGGTTGCGTACAGACCAGGTGACCAAATCTCTCCTGTTGCACTGGTGGCTAGAGTCACGCGACAACTCAGCCATTAAATCTGACAGATCAGCAAAAACCTTTGTAACCAATGATATATTAACACGTGTAATCGAACACATTCGTAGATCATCTCAACATCCAACGTTCAGAATAATTCCGACCCTTGAGGTACCTCAACAGCTATTTTAATATTAATTTTTGTACGAATATTTTTTTATCGCTAATCATTTCGTTCTCCAAACACGTGTTTTATGTATTCCGGGCCCCAAAGCTTCAAGTTGAAAATAAACATTTGACCAAATATATGATTAATCCTAAGATTATACGATGCATACAGCTATCAAATATTATAATTTTTTGTTCCTTTAAAAGTTATTTCAATTGACAGCGTTTTACAAGAAAAATTAGGTTAAGTAATGTGATTTGGTATTTGGATATGATCTCCAGAACAATTTTGGTACTAAAAAAATTACTAATAAATTAATTACCGCTTAACAAAAAGAAGAAAAATATTAAATTTGATCAGAGCTGGGACCCATACAGATGATTCCACGTGGCAACTGTATACCATGTGATCCATTTGTAGAGTCCTTATTTGACGACGCTCTTAATTTTATTGGGCCCCTCAAGTGATCAGATCTAATCCAACTGGCTGGTCTCATGTATGGGACACGTATCTCGTCATGGTTCATGTGAGTGTTCATGTGAGTTTTTGTTTTCTTTTTGCTTTTTATTTACTTTTTTTCCTTTCTTTCGCTCATGATTGAGATGATGAAATAAGAGAAAAACTAATTATAACAAACAAAAGTTTTATATTGTGAAGAAAATAGAAGTTTTATACTAAAAAAAAGAACGAGGAACAAACAAATAGAATTTTGGTATTACTGTTTGTAATTATGCAAGACCAAATAAAAATCCGGGTTATCTATTTTTTGTGTCGAAATTAAAAATAGTGACAGTTGTTAATTGACCTGATAAAATATTAAAATCGTTGCGAAGGCGAATCAACACTTGCTAAATTTATAAAGTTTAAAATATTAAATTTATGAATTGTTTATTAGAAATAAAACAAATCTCATGGTACACAAGTCTTTTCATGATAAAATTTAATATTTCGGTTATTTTTAAAATAATTATATATTAAGCTTGACACATTTCCTTTGAGGAGAAAGTAAGAAAAAGATATTGGCGATAATACTATCCTTAATTGGGAAAATTAAAATTAAATAATAAGATTGTTATGTTGAACACGGCGTCGACTCACCGCCTATGGCCGACCATATACGTACACTCTTGAGTCTTGACATGATTATGTTATGCAATTCCTCGACCTTAGGGATGGGTTGATAGTGACCACATTTTTTTTTGACACCAATTAATAGGTTTTTTCAAACAATTGGATAAATTATAAAAGTCACAGGAAGAAAATTAATTTAGGGATTAGGTAGTTAGTTGATCAGTATCTTCAAGAGAGTGACTATTTATTTTGTTCTTCGTTTTATATTTTTGTTTCAAATGTTTCATATCAACTATTATTATTAACTAATAAAACACAATATTAGTGCGTTGAAATATGAATGGCAATAAGAATTTGACATAAAAAAGGATGCATTTAAATAACTAAATGGTGGAGATTTATTTGTAAAGGGAATACGGTGACAAAATCTTAAACAAACAAGATGCAGAGCCGTGCCTACTATACAATCAAAAAGGTATTTGCTTCATGTAAGTAAATTATAAAAATAACTTTGGAGAATTTTATAATTAAAAGATCTTGTATCCAAGTGGCAATTGAAAAAATGTTTATATTTACCACCCGAGTTCTCATTTCCTTTTTTTTTTTTTTCTTTTGAAGAGAATTAAGAAAAAAACAAATCTGTTTACATATTTTCAGTTTTTATATCTAAAAAATGACAAAATTTGCTGTAATGTTTGTAAATTTTATTAACTTAACATTTTATAATTATAGAATCATATCAATATTTAATAAGTGATACTTATTTGATATATTTATTATTAATTTTTAAAATTATACTTCTAAATTAATATATATACCACAAAAAATGATGTAACTACTAAACCAAATAATTTTTTTTCATGTTTTGAATTTATTTTATTTTTTTAAAAATAAATAAATAAAATCTTATTTTTTATATTCATCTCAACCTTTGCTGAATTAGGCATACCACTGACAAGATGTTACTTAATATTTCGTATGTGATTAAACTAGCTGTTTCAAACATGCATGATATCACATTATATTTCTTTACGATGTATTTTAAAAAAAAATTATTTACGGTGTTGTCATTACGTTTTCCTACATATATATTACTCAACAAATTTTTGTTGTAACAGGATTAAAAGAATATTGGAAAAATAATTAACTAGATTTAAATTAGTCAACTGAATAATTTTTTTTTCAAAATGAAGAGATTAATATATAGTTATATATAATCTGCTTGAATATATATTTGGTCTCTTCAATTATATTATATATATATATAACGTCTATGTATGTGTATGTATAAAATAGCAAAAGCTCAAGTGGGATACTTGGATGTAAAGAAACAAAAGGTCAAACATCAATTAGCATTCCTCAAAACATTTTAAAATGTTTTAAGAGAAAATTAATATGTTCACCAACATCATATATTGTTAGCCCCATACATCGGATATACTTTTGGTTCTGACGTGTCAAATCTTATCTACTTATTGTACATTGCTTCTTTAGCAAACCAACACTAGCTACTGTAACACCATCATCGGTAGTTAAAAACATTATGTTTGAGTACAAGTAATTAATTGGTTTTGTTATCTCTCATTGGCTATAAGTGGATTGATATATGCCTCTAAACTTTCTCTTATGTATATTGCAAGATTGTCATTATACAAAAATAAGAGAGCAACATTACACTGATTACTTTACTCTTAGCTTGTCGGCCTAATTGGTAGATAAAAATATAAAAAGTCAGATATTCCAATTGTTACTCGCGACTATATAATAATCTGCTTGAATAAATATTTGGTCTCTTCTCGAGTTTTTGTTTTTAATTGAAGAAGGATTTACTTATGCCTTACCTTAAAGTAACTGTAGACTTTTCAAAACTTATACATCAACCTCATGCATTGCCATATCACATGTCTTCATGGTATCTAGGACAGTGGAACATTGCTCAAGGAATGTCTTTCATAACATATCAGAAATAGTCAAATATGAGATTTTTTGTGTACTTAGTATTGATTTAGATAACTTTGCTTTTTTGATTAATTTTATCAACACACTGCATATTTTGTTGACATCTAGCGATTAGATCTACGAAATTATTTACACATTTTATAGTATGATCATCTTTTATTAGCAAATATATGGATCAAAATACCCATAATAATTTGCCATTAATTACCTATGGTAAAAATCTATAAATTAAGTTAAAATAAGTACGGTGACTTCACTATCTATTTTTGTTCTTTTACGGTCGGACTAGCCAACCCATTTTAACGCAGCAGTGTAATTCAATACACCTGAACCAAAAAAAAATCTGGAATATATGGAAGCAAATCTATAAATAAATAAAAAAATCTCTAATTGAGTCAAAAGCAATTTATTTGGGTAGTGAATTGGTCTGCAAAATGCAATAATTTGCCAGAAAGGAGAGAATCTCAAGAATATTATCTAACAATTACTTACTTTACAAAATCGGATGAACCAATTCTTCTCTATTCACTGTATTCATAATAGTTACTATTAATTAGGAATATAACCTCCCCAAAAATATATGTATGTTGGAAGTTTAATGTTTTAATATTATAAGATTTTGCAGTCTCAAAACTAAAAAGAACAAAAATGGAGATTGTAAGGATAGTGAAGTCACCGTACTTTATCACATATTGTCTTCTCCTAATTATTTGCTGGTTGTTGTCTCATCATCCTTCATGTGACCCATGTATGAGTACCATTAGAGGAACACAATTCTCGCACATTCAACAAGTAAGATCGAGATTATGAACACATTAATTATGCTGCTTTCGATCAATGGAATTAAATTTGATATTTTGAAGTTTCTGGTCACAGGAATCTTCTTCAGACTTATCGAGTCTAGTGAAAGGAGTAGCTACAGATGATAGAACAGTGATTATTACAATGGTGGATCAAGAATGGGCAAAACCCGAGTCTCTTCTTGATCTGTTCCTCGAGAGCTTTGGGATTGGAGAAAGAACCAAACACTTGTTGAACCATTTGATCGTTGTGGCTCTAGATGATCAAGCTCTTCGATATTGTCTTCGTGTCCATCCCCATTGTTACCTTCATAGAGATTCTAGAAGAAAATTCGAATCTACAAGCCCAGATGGTCTTGTTGCCGGTTGGAGGAAAAAGTCTTTGGTGAAAGAGATTCTAGAACTCGGTTACAACATGATGTTCACTGTGAGTTCTTTTAATCCCAAATTTTCTTTTCTACAACGTGATTTTATAATCATCTCTTTTTATAAAAAAAATGTCAATCATATATATTGATGTTGTGGAAAGTAAGAACAAACATGCATTTTATTCAAGAAATGGGACTAGACGATCGTAAAGATAGTGTTTAGGTGATAAATAACCTTTAAAATGTAATTTATCAAGTTTTCCATTTTCTAGAAAAAACAAATTTTGTTACAAAATGTTGGGTTTTCTCACAACTTTTAATGTTTGAATTATTAATTCTCTGTTTATAGATATATATTATTTCTGTTATTAGTTTCGTAACTGCATAAACCGTCTTTATATGTGTTTTGGTTAAACATTCTAACGTTTAGCTTCTAGTGCTTTTTCGAACACTATAGTTTATATGAATTTATCTAAATTGGATGCAGGAAGCTGATGTGATGTGGCTAAGGAATCCTCTAATGCACTGCCACCCTCTTAATTTAGTCTCAGTGGCTTGTGGGTTTTCATCAAGTGATCATCATCAACAACAACAACATCAACATGCAACAGCTGAAAACACGGGAGGTTTTTTTTATGTCCAGTCAGATGATACAACCATAAACATGTTTCAGATATTGGACTTAGAGAGAGTTGTGTATCCTTCAAGTGGGAACCAATCCTTCTGCGACATTCTAAAGCGGGATGATTTTCAAAATCTTGATATGAAAGTAACCTACTTGGATGATGTTAATTTTTGGAGGTTCTGTCAGCCAAATCCACAAAATCAAAGCAAGATAGCTACAGTTCATGCAAGCTGCTGTAATGATACAAAGAGCAAGGTGCATTACTTGAAGCTGCTTCTACAAGACCGGAAAGATATGACTCTGCGATGGAGAATTCCAAGTCAACAATGCAAAGGATTTTCTTTGTTATAAATAAAGATTTTAACATTAATTAATAGATAACATTCAAAACTTATAAGGAAAAAACCAGACAACTCTATCAGTTTCATTATATGATGTAGTGATCTCTATTAATTTTTCAAAAAAAATTAGGACAAAATGAGAAAAAAATGAGGTTTTAGTTTTGGATATACCGATAATTTTCTCTTCAGGATTGAGAACCAATGTTATAAGATTTGTATATATATATATCGAATTAGGCTCACAAATGAATAAAATTTGTGATTAGTACTTACACACATGCAAGATCAACGGGTACATGTGCGGGTGCTAGAGTTTGTGGAAGCTGTAGACATGTTTAAGATAACAAGAAATCAATTCTTCTGCGACATTGTCAAGCGGAAATATGTAACCACATGCAAGATCAAGATAACGGCAATTCTAGCGAAAAAAATATTTACGACAATTCATGCAAATTACTGTAATTCGTGAGACAACAACCTGAAGCTGTTCTCCAGGACGGAAAATATGAATCCGCGGTGGAGAATTCTGATGTAGAAGATTATCTTCGTTTTACACAATTTAACATTAACAGATATAACACGAAAGAGCAAAACATTTACGTGCATGAAACAAGTTATACGCACCAAAACATTTACAACTTACAAGGACACAAATGAGGTAAAAAATTCAGCACCTGAAAAAAAATATGAGTCTGTATAATATGGATTCGACTCTATTTTTTAAGAAAGTGGAACTGGCTAAGTTTTTAGGTGGTTTCAAAAGCGATTTAGATTTAGATTATGTTGAACTAGAAAATCACCACTAAAGATTTGATTAATAGTTGTGGGTTTCAGAGAATAAGATATTTTATTAATAGCTGTAAAGCGAAGCGATTACAAGAGATGGTTTGACCGAGAGGTTATGCCGAGATGAAAAGAAAGTGTTTGCGAAGTAAACTAAAAAGCGTTGGAATTCTTGGTTTTAGCTCTGCTGCTCTCTAGATTGTATGAGTTGTTCTCTTAAGCTTCAGGGTCTTCTTATTTATAGAGATAGGAGGTCGATTCCTCCATATTTGCGATATGGAAATATCCATTATTCTTCGAAAAATACGGAAATTCTCATTTATCTTTTGAGTCAATCCGATGCTTCCGGACTTCCTAGATTATCTTTAGGAGTTTTCTTTTTATCCGAGCTAGGTCGACGCGGTCCTCCTGGTCTTGATGGGCTTAAGTTATTGCTAGAGAAAGTCTTTTAGGAAATGTGCTCATTTCTCCTCTAATAATAAGTCCCCCCCCCCCCCCCCCCCCCCCCCCCCCCCCCCCCCCCCCCCCCACCCCCCCCCCCCCCCAGTTCGGCGAGACTGATTGTAAATCAGGTCGGCGGACTTCATGAAGTTAAGCGGGCTTGAGCCCGCAATAAGTATTAGTTCGTCAAGAACGTTTCTTCGCGGTGGCCAGCTCGGCCCGATTTTAAGTGTATTTGTCACGTGGCGCTTTCTCTGAATAAATTATTAAATATTCCGACCCATTAGGGTTTTGCTCCGAGCAGAAAAGGCGAAAGGTTTATCAGACGGCGAATCTTGACACGCGTCTTTTTAGAAAACTGTTGATATTTCTTTCGATTTTATCTCTTCGTCTTCTAACTTATTTTCCTCAAATCGATTCTTCTCTACGATAATCTTCTTTTCTTGACGATCTCCTCTCTTCTTCTTTTGATTTCAGATCTCAGTTGAGCATATCTTTTTAGAGGCATAGGGTTAAGGAAGAGGGACAAAAATCCTTCACTAGACATTGACATCCCCGATTCTCTCTGAACAAGAAGCCCAGATCGGAGGCTCCATCGCAAGATCCGATCGTCGTTGAAGATACTCCGTTAGATAAGCATGATGTGGCTGTTGCGGACGCTCGCTCATCTCCAAGAATTTCAACAGAGGGTCCGGAAGTTGAATCGCCAATCGAGGAGCAAGACTCCGTCTTTGTGACGGTGGAGGAGCAAGAAACCAACTCGCCAGGTCCGACGAGCAGCTCTCTGAAGGACCCGGAAGATGTCGATGAGGACCCCGGTTTCAATCCTCACGAGTTCTTACTACGCTGGAGCGGGGATTCCCCGGCGATGCTTAACGAATACTTCGCAGCGAATCTGGTCTGGCAATATAGGGCGAAGCCGAACCAAGGGATACGCTTGCTTTTCTGGAATGGCTCAGCGTTTCGTGCAGGGTTTAGGCCTGTGCGCATCCTTGATTGACTCGTATGACCGAGAATCAGTGCGAGAAGAGAAAAAAGACAAGGAACTAACAGAGCTCTGTGACGCTTTGGTGAAGATCAAAGAGCTTGAGCGCGGGAAGCTTGGTGTGGAGCTTAAATATCAGGCTCTTAAAGCCGAATCTGCTAAAGAAGGACAACTCCACAGGGAAAGTTTGGAGAAGAGGGCGGCCGAATAAACCAAGAGAGCAGCTGCCTCAGAGAAGGAGTTTCGAGGTCAACAACGCAAGTCTGTCGAGCATATCGTCGACCTGATGTAACCGACGGTTTGAAGATGGAGCGTCACGGGATCAAGGATGCTCCGCTTACTCAGGACGACTTCGCCGCTCCAACACAAGTTCATATGCGACTTTCTGATTTGGAGTTGGAGGCGGACGGGATTCAAGTGCCGAAGCGGCATTAAGTTTTTTTTTTCTTTTTCTTTGCAATGATTTTCATAGTTTTTAGAAAATGTAAGCGAGATAAACGCTTCCTTTTCCTTTTTTAATGAAAATAAGATAGTTTATGTCAATGTTTTTGCTAACACTCGTTGACGAGGTGACCCTTATTTTTAAGGGTTTGTGAAGTCAAAAAGTTTTTTTTTGTCTTGCGGTGCGGGAGAATTCTTTAAGCCGGTGCTGGAAACGAGATTCATTCACTCGTCTTATACCAAACGAAGATCGAATACCAAGCTTTCAGAAGTCACTTCGGCCTGAAAGGTATGATCGAGGGTCGTACGAGTATTGTCCTCGGCTTTCGTCTTATCTACTTCAGAAGTAATTAAATCGAACTGAAGCATCAAAGGGGTGGTGATCAGCCACTAATTTAATATTTGTTGCTTGCTTTTTTGAATCGAATGTTTGGCCAGAACACCGATCCAGCAAGATGCATTTGCATGAAGAAAATTGCTCTACGTGCCGAGCTGATCTTACAGTCAATTTGGACCAGTAGTTATCCTTTATTTTGAACACTGAGCTGGTTAACAAAGTTAAAGGTAATTTTTATTAGGAAAGTGACTGAACCCGAAGGCTACCTACGTACCCAAAACGGGATCAAGTCATTCGTAGTTCTTGGCAACAATTGTAAGCTTAAATGCCGAGCTGTATTTTCTAAGGGTAGTACTTCCTTAAATTCATCGAATTTCGTGCTCGCTTGACCGGTTTTCCATCTATTTTTTCCAGTTTATTGACGCTGGGTTTGACGATGTGCGTGATGCGATATGGTCCATTCCAGTTCACTTTAAGTTTTTTCGGGTTCGTAACCCTCCGCAAAACAAGGTCATGAAGCGAGAACAATCGGCTGCGTACCTTCTTGTTGTAATATCTAGAGATTTGCTGCTGATAGTTCTGAATGCGCAATAAAGCTTTATCGTGAAGTTCTTCTAAGCCATCCAGAGCATTGATTAGCTTTTCGTCATTTAGTTGCGGGTTCTGAACCATTTAGGTTCTCCGAGCACTCGGTACATGTGCTTCAGCGGGTGCTAACGCCTCACTGCCGTGAGATAACGAAAAAGGAGTTTATCCTATTGCAGTTCGTGGAGTCGTTCGGTGGGACCAGAGGACCCCGTCCAGTTCATCTGCCCATCTTCCTTCTAGGTCTGTTAGTCGCTTCTTAAGACCGTCGAGAATTGTTTTATTAGAAGCCTCCGCTTGTCCGTTTCCTTGTGGATAGCAAGGTGTTGAGTAACTTATGCGTATTCGCCAACCCTCACATAAATTTCAAAAAATTTTAGAGGTAAACGGCGTGCCATTATCCGTGACGATCTCGTATGGAAGGCTGTGCTGACATATGATGTTTTCTCATACGAAAAGCTGGGCGTCGATTGCTTTAATGCTGGGGTATGCTTTAGCTTCAACCGAGAGGTTATGCCGATATGAAAAGAAAGTGTTTGCGAAGTAAACTAAAAAGCGTTGGAGTTCTTGGTTTTAGCCCTGCTGCTCTCTAGATTGTATGAGTTGTTCTCTTAAGCTTCGAGGTCTTCTTATTTATAGGGATAGGAGGTCGGTTGCTCCGAACTCCTTTTCCTTCTTCCCTTTGGTGAATATTTTCATATTTGCGATATGAAAATATCCCTTATTCTCCGAAGAATATGAAAATTCTCCTTTATCTTTTGAGTCAATCCGATGCTTTCAGACTTCCTAGATTATTTTTAGGAGTTTTCTTTTTATCCGAACTAGGTCGGCGCGGTCCTCCTAATCTTGATGGACTTAGGTTATTGCTAAAGAAAATATTTTAGAAAATGTGCTCATTTTCCCTCTAACAGATTACTTGTATAATATAAAAAATAAAAAGATCAAAATGTTATATGTTACCGCTTAACATTTTTTTAATATAAATAAACCTATAATATAATAATAATAAAACATTTACATATACATAACCAAAGTAAGCTTGAAAACATAGTCATTTAAAAAAAAAAAACTAACAAAAAAGTCAAAACTTCTTAATATTTATATCATTTATATTGTTGACAAAAAAATATATATATATTAAATTATTGTATGGTAAGTAGTTAAATAAATACCTAACAATATCAGTAAACAGTAAAATCATTTATTACTATGGTAGATAGTTTTTTTTTTTGTTTTTTAACGAAACTTTTAGTTTTCCTTTGACTCTATTTTGGTAGATAATTAAAAGAGGAAATAGTATACATAAGTATACATAAGTATACATCAAGCCATGATTTAACTCAATCAAACCAGGGCTTGAGTGGATCCAATCAAGTAATTTTTGATCGACTTTTCATGGTAACATTCGGTATATGTTTCTAAATAGTTTAATATC